AGCAGCAGAAGAGAGAGGCCGTTCAAATAGAAGAGGCAAAAGGGAGACCTGGCGCCTCCGCCTGCAAACAAAACGAAAAGCACGCAACTACAATCAGCTACTGCAGCAGCAGCAGCAGCAGTGGGAGCAGTAGGGAGAGCAGCTCGAAGAGAAGGAACCGCAGCAGCAGCAGCAGCAGAGAAGCAAAAGGAGCAGCAGCAACTGCGCAGCAGGGGCTGCTGCTGACCTGAGGGTCTCAAGCGGGTATACAACAAACTGAGAGGCGCGAGAAGCGATATAAGCAGATAGAAGAAAAGGAGACAGAAGGAGACTGCTGCTGCTGCTGCTGCTGTTGCTTTTGTCTTCTTCTGTTACTATAGGGTAATCCAAAGAACTAGCGTCAGCAGCAACGGCAGCAGCAGGAGCCGCTGCGGCGGAAGGCGCGGCAGCAGCAGCAGGAGCAGCAAGACCCGCTGTAGGAGCAGCAGCAGCAGCAGCAGCAGCATCTGCTACTGCTGCTGCTTCGGTGCGTTGTAGTTTGTTAGCAGCAGAGAGAAAGAGAGGAGATATAACAGAATTAAAGGAGACAGCAAAAAAGGAGACAGGAAGAACAGACAAACAGCTCAAGGAGAAACCCCTATACAAACCAACCACGCCTGCACACACATACAAACCCTAAACCCTAAACCCTAAACCCTAAACCCTAAACGCTAAACCCAAGAAATTCTACATGCCAGAAATTCAGACATACGCCCTAAACTCTAAGCCCTAAACCCTAAACCCTAAACCCTAAACCCTCAGGGAGCGTTGAGGTGTATATACACCTGAATGGCGATACAGCGCTGAGAGACAAAGCCGCGGGCTGGTGACTCCATATCTCGCGTTTGCTGCAGCAGCAGCAACAGCAGAAGCAAATGAAACAGCAGCAGCAAATGAAGCGGCAGCAGCAAATGAGGGGGAGCAGCGGGGCGGATGAGACACCTCGCAGCAGCAGCAGCAGCCAGTGCAGCAAGGAGACAAAAAAGGAGAAAGAAAGTAAAAAGAGAGACAACAGATAAGGAGACAGTGGATATAAGGAGGCAGAAGATGAAAGGAGACAGAAAAGAAAGAAGACGAAAGGAGACAGAACAGAAAAGGAGACAGAAAAGAAAAGGAGACAGAAAGAGACGGAGACACAAGCTAACAAAGAAGAGTCAAATGAGACAGACAGCAGAGGGAGAGACAGAGGAGACAAAAGGAGACAGTTGTTACTCCTGTGCCGAACCTAAACCCTAAACCCTAAACCCTAAACCCTAATCTCCACCTGTTATTAACAAAGTCCTGACAGAATCAAACGGATGAGAAAAGAGAAGAGAGGCGAAGGAACTTAGAGACAAACAAACCGCCTGCACACACCAAACCCTAAACCCTAAACCCTAAACCCTAAGCCCTCAGCTCTCAAACCTAATCCTATGCCTTAAACCCTAAGCCCTAAACACCAAAACCTAAACAGTAAACACCACAAACCCTAAACCCTAGATATCAAACCCTAGAACATAAACCCTAAACCCTAAACCCTCACCTCTTGCAACTTGCTGCCGTCACCAGCCACACGATCCCTGACACACCCCAAACAACGAACACTAAACCCTAAACCCTAAACCCTAAACACTAAACCCTATGCTTGTGTGCTGCAGTATGGATGCGCCGTCTGTGGGGCCAGGGGTTGCACAGCCGTACACTACCCACAAGAAGCAGCAGCAGCAGCAACAGCAGCAGCAGCAGCAACAGCACCAGCAGCAGCAACAACAACAGCAGCAGCAGCAACAGCATCAGAAACAGCAGCAACAATAGCAACATCAGCAGCAACAGCATCAGCACCAGCAGCAACAGCGACAGCAGCAGCAGGAGCAGCAGGTTACCTGATGGCGTTGTTAACAGCAATACTGACTCCGCATGCAACTAAAGAACCAGCAGCCCCACAACCAGCCCCAACCCACAAACCCCTAAGCCCCCGTGCAGCTCGCTGCTGCTGTTGCTGCTGCTGTTGCTGCTGCTGCTGCTGTTGCTGCTGCTGCAGCACGGCTTCTGTTTGCTGCAGGATGCGGAGACGATCCAGAGGACCCACAGCAGCAACAGCAAGAGCCATGGGGACACCCAGAGACCACAGAGAAGACAGCAACAGCAGACCTGCAGCAACAGCAGCAGCAGCAACAGCAGCAGCTCAGCAGCGGCAGCAGCTTAACAGCGGCTATGCTGCAGCAGCAACATAGCAGCAGGAGCTGTAGGAGCAGCAGGATCTGTAGACATTAGACCCTACACCCTAAGCCCTCGATCCTAAACCCTAAACCCTAAACCCTAAACCCTAAACCCTAAACCATGAGCATACCTTGCCCTGTGCGTCTTTTGCTTTCTTTT